CTAGATTCCTTAACCCTCAAAACTAAATAGTGGTTTTGAGTGGCTTAAAAAAAAAAAGAGGTAGAAAAGTAAAATTGAAATGGAGTCTTTAGTGACAAACAAGTTCATCTAAAAAAAAAAAACCCCAAACACAAAACCTCATTGAAAGAGTATATAAGGACCTACAGGATTAAGAAAAATTTTAGCAATGAAAGATAGGACAAAGAATCAATTTCTAAAATCTATAGAAAATGGTAACACCTCAACAAGAAAAACATGAATAATCCAATTAAAACTGAACAGAAAACATAAACAGCTCACCAAAGAACACATACAGCTGGCCAACAAACATGAAGAAATGTTCATAATAACTAGCTATTGAAATGATGCAAACCAAAACAATGATGAGACACCAGTGCTTAACAATATTGATAGCAAAGTTAAAAAAATAATAACAATGCTCTAGATGTTCTGGTGAGATTGACATTCTTATACATTGCTGGTAGAACTGTAAAACTGTATAATCACTGTGGAAGGCAGTATGGCACTTTCAAAAATTTGGAATAGAAATACCATATTAATCAAATATCCCTCTATTTTGTATATATTCTTTAGTAACAAAAGTATATATTCTTTAAGTAACAAAGCATGAGCAGATATATGCATGTTTGCTATTGACAAGAGCAGGAAGATAGAAACAAGGTAAATGTATATCAGTGGAAGAACATATAAACAAATATAGACAATGGAATACTACACATCACTAATGAATAATGATGATGGTGTGCAACACCTCATGACATGGAAGAATTTAAAGAACACTGTGCTGAATGAAGTTAGTAAACACCAAAGGACAAATATTGTGTGAGACCACTGTTATTTAAAAAAATTAAGATAATGGTTATCATACCAAAAGAAACAGACATTAATGGTTACCAGAGAAGGAAAAGGAAAAGAGGAGTGAGGCAGGAAATAAAAGGGTAGAGGTTGGACAGTTGTCAACTTAGTGAAAGAAAACATAGTATCTGACAAATGGGAAACAGAAAAAAATGCGGCATGCAGAATAAGCTGATGGGAGGGCTGATATATTGTTAGAGTTATACAATACAAAAATGATTACCTGATATAGAAACCCCACCTAATTCACACTAAAAGTTTAAAAGAAAACTGCAATACATTAAAAGAAAATATACGAATGTAGGCACAGCTGTTATGGCCTCCAAGGTGTGTAATTCTTATTCTTCTCTCAGGTTGTGCCTAAAACACATCAGACTCAAGAGCCCACAGGTCTTAGTAGCACTGCTTAGCACAGCATATATTACAAGCAGTTCCTTACTTATGATGGGTTTCCATCTCAATGACTCCATCATAAATTAGTTTTGATGCACGTAGAGTAACTCCTTATCTTTATGTTTGATTATCATTGCCTTTTACTAACAGTTCCATTATAAATCCTACCTTTATTTGTTTTTGAAGGTTAGAAAAATTATATATAAACTCTAAGATATGCTAACATCAGGAAATCATGTATTCCAACAAAATGGACAGTCATAAGCACTGTTGGTCATAAACATGTAATAGGAAGTTTGGGACTACCTGTATAGCTTAATATCCTTTGTCTTAATTAAAGCAATATAGATGGCACTTTAAAGATTTTTTTTAACACATGTAACAATAAAGCATCTTAGTATTGAGCAGAGACCACTAATCTTAGATATGGTTTGGGTTTCTTTTATTTAAACACAAATTTAGCCCTGACTGACTATACTGGATCAATACTTGATAAAATTCATGGAAGAGAGGATGTCAATGAGAGAAGGAAAGAAATAAGGAAGTAAAGGGGCTAAATAATTTTAAAAGTTTGTATTTGCTGAAGAATAAAGTCTTGGTTATTTTTTTAAAAGAAAGAAACGCAGTAGGACCTGAGTGACACACATGTAGGTGCTATGCTACTAAATGAAATACTGGAGGCACTGTGGAAGAAAGGCCTGGTGATTCACTCTGACTGAAAGATCACAGTTATTGTAAACCCTCTGGAGCACAGATTTACTCTGATATACATGGGTTCACCATGAGTAGGAATTGACTCAATGGCAAGTGTTTTGATGTTTTTTGTTTTTATTAACATAAATCTCACTTATAGATACTTTTGAAAAATTTTTTACTTAAATTCTATGATTTAGAGTAATCATAAAATTTTTATGATTTTTCAAAAATTAAGAAATTAAGAAGTGAGAACCAGAGTCTGGGATAAGACTTTACCTGTGTTCTAAAATCAGTTTTGAGGACATAAACAAAGGAATGTACATTGAAACAAGGAGCTCCTGTTGGAATCAGGGTCTTGGCAACTATCTTCATCAGGCAAGTAGAAGGTTACAGAAGCAAAGAAGGTATTTGCATTATACTTTATTTTAAATTGTACTAGAACAACTCTGTAAAAGGATAATACTATATGCATCTCATAAAATAAAGGAGGTTAAAGACTAAGAAAACACTTTCAATATAAATAGTTGGATATTTGATAGTGTTACTATGAAGTTGTTTGCACGGAAGAGTAGAATCCAAGGCATAAAATGCTCAGAGATGAAGCCATGCACCGTTTACCACTATCCAGTAAGTGCTCAAAGAAAGACAAAACTATTCACCATGCAATACCAATACATCTTTTCAAAGAAACTCAAAACATTTATCATATACGGGAACAATAGAAATTCATTTTATATGCCACCCATGTAAATCATATGAAAAGTGGTTCCTACCTTTGTAATAAGAATCCGATATTTATCCAGCATGGCTTGGTTGTCGTGGCAGCCTGCTAATAATTGCCATACTTCTGCCCTCAAAGCTTCAGGGACTCCACTCTTCACCAGTGTGGATAACCCTTTTGGCCGTCCACTAAGGTTATTGTACCTCAGAAAGCAAGAAAATACACCATTTACCACTCCTGAACTGGTGCTGTGAAGGAAAGTATGAGTTCACAGAATAGTGGAAGTTTGAGTTTAGGGAAATAGGAGACGGTGGGAAGGGTGTGTTTGGTTGTGTTATAAGTGATAATAGTAGAGCTCAGCTCAGTAACATCATTGACTTTTATTCTTTCTCCCATTTTCTCTATCAGTAAGCCCTGTTATTCCACCTTCAGGGAAAGTTTTTCTTCCTCTCATTTACTTTCCTTAATCATCCTAAGAACTTAGTCATAATAATGAATGTGTTAATTATATATTTCTAGGCAGCATCTGGAAGCATCAAAGGAGCCATCTAAATCCCCTGAGATAAATTTAGAATAATTCAGCTAATGGTGTCAGGAGGGCGGGGAGTAGGCTGTAAGGTCTACCACATCTTGACTATGCCCACCCTCCTCACTAGGGTCATTTCAACTCATTAAATTTCTCTGATGGATTTAAATTAAAATACAATTTCAGTTAATTTAGAAAAGCATCATAGGTAAATATGCTTCATGAAACATGTCAAAGTAAAAGGAAAGTGTTAATTATTCTTAAGAAGACTTACACCTGAGTAAATTACTTCACACCTGAAACTTCCAGCTGTCTCTTTGTTAACCAATTGTGTTTGGGAAGAGCAAAAGAGTATCATGCCACAAGAGAGACAAGATCAGGCATGAAAATATCTTTTTTTTTTTTAATCATTTTCTTGAGAGCTTGTACAGCTCTTATCACAATCCATACATCCATGCATTGTGTCAAGCACATTTGTACATTTGTTGCCATCATCATTCTCAAAACATTTGCTTTTTACTTGAGCCCTTGGTATCAGCTCATTTTCCCCCTCCCTTCCCCACCCTCCCATGAACCCTTAATAATTTACAAATCATTATTATTTTGTCATGTCTTATACTGTCTGACGTCTCCTAAGATCTTTTAATAATCTAATGTTTACCTCAGATTATACTTTTGAATAGGAAAAGAATATGTGGTTACTTAGCTGAGTTTCTAAAATTCTGTTAAATAAAAATAAGCTGGTTTTCTCTGAAATTAAATGTAAAATATTTAGAACTATTAATCATTTAAATGTGTAATGTAATATAATGGAAATTCATATCACTAATTATATTTTAAATGTTGTATGTTGTTGCTGTTCAGATTCATGGTAATCCCATGAGTATACATAGTATAACTGCTCTATATCATTTTACAGGCTATGAATTTTCAGAAGCAGATCGCCAGGCCTATCTTCAGAACTACCTCTAGGAGGGTTCAAACCAATAACCTTGTGGGTAGTAGTGAAGGACTTAACCATTTGCACCACCCAGAGGCTTCTAACATGATACATTGCTGTTGTTGTTAAATGTCAATATCATTTAACTCACAGCAACCCCAAGTCACAGAGCACAACTGCACTGTAGGTTTTCTAGGCTGTAATTTTTTTAAATCATTTTATTGGGGGCTCTTACACAGCTCTTCTCACAATCCATACATATATCCATTGTGTCAAGCATCTTTGTAACCTTCAGAGGGGTCTTCCCTGGTGGCAGAGTGAGTTACCTATTGGGCTGCTACCTGCAAGTTCGGCAGTTTGAAAGCATTACCTGCTCTGAGCAAGAAAGATGTGACTTTATAATCCCATAAAGACTGATAGCCTTGGAAAGCCATAGGAGCAGTTCTACTCTGTTCTGTAGAGTCATGAGTTGGAATGGACTCAATGGTAGTGAATTTCATTTGGTTTTTCACATCTGGATGACTTCAATCCATCAACAGTAGCCAAGTGCTTATTCATCAGGGTTCTTTAAATATTACATAGAAATCAATAAATCATTACTATGTTTTAGAAAGTAGTTCAGGTGGCAAAGTAGACTATGTGTTGAACTTCTAATTGCAAGGTCAGCAGTTCAAAGCCACCAGCCTCTCTGCAGGAGAAACATGAGTCTTCCTACCCCCATAAAGATTTATAGGCTTAGAATACCTACATAGGGTCACTGTAAGTCAGAATCAATTCAACAGCAGTGAATTTTATTTTTGAGGGGGGGGGGTGTGTTTACAGCTACTCAAACCTCAATAAATATCTTCTATGGAAATGAAGATATTTTCAACCCCATAGATGCTTCTAGCTATCACACTCTCTCCTATGTAAACACTTTACTTAGAAGAACTGTTGTCTACGCACAACCTTAATTTCTTCTTCTCCCACACATTTTCTTCTATTAAATGATTCAGTGTTCTGAGTTCTCCCTCTCCACTCTTTCCTTCAGTGATTAATTCTTTCACTCTCTTGTCACTAGGTATTACCAGCCATGCCCAAGTAATCAGTTATTACTAAGCCCTCTGCTCTAAGTTCCCAAAGCTCAAAGGCAAGTCAAAAGTAGCACATCCAAATTTGAACTCATCCTATTGTTCTCTGTGCTTTGTTGTTTTCCAGGTCATCCCATCTCAAGTACTGTCTCTACCATCCATCAAAACCAGAAGCCTAGGAGTTATTATTGACATTGCCCTGTGTCCCACAGTCCACATCCAATGGATTTTACTTTCTCCGCCTATCCAAAATCCTATTAAGATCAATGATAATATATACTAATTGTGTGTCATAATCAGGCTGCTTTTGATGCATGGATAAAAATGTCCAACATGAATCTTGTCTTCTTCACTTATATATCCCAGGTACCTAGAATAGTGCCTAGTATAAAGAAAACATTTAAAACATTTTAAATTATACTTTATTGTGTTTTAGGTGAATGTTTACATGATGCATTAGGTTCCCCTTTAACATTTTTATACAAATTGTTCCATGACACTGGTTACAACTTTTAAAATGTGTCAATATGGTAATAATTTCTTTTGTAAGAATTATTATGTCAAATTATCCCCAAGGACTTGGATATTAAAAAAGTCCCCAAAGTCCAATCTTGCAAGATGCTAGTCTGCTCCATTTCCCCCCACGTCTTCATTGAGTAAGTTTCCTCACATCTCTGGGTTCTGCAAATAACTACAGTGTCGCCCAGAACTCGCAGAAGTTAGAGAAAATGTCTCTCATGGCGGTGAGTGCAGTTCAGTGAGAAGGTCAGGCGGGGTAAGCCATATGCAAAGAGCAAGGGGCATACTCCACTCCTGGCTCTTAATGGTGATGAGCTCACATCCCCTGCTGTGCAGTGGGCTCATTTTGCATGTCACAGTGTGGCACTACAAGAAATCCTGTTCACAATTACTCCTATTAGTATCTTCTCCTATTTTCTTACCAGACCTCTGCAAGGTAAAGTCATTTGGTGGAAGTTACATAGTGCAACCAAATTTCACTCAAATATAATAATCTACTCTCCACCTCTGGAGTCTCTTATTTATGCACATATGATCTGAGGCATCTGGCAAGAAGTTTTTAGTAAGCAATGATCTTCTACTAAACTTAATTAGCCAGGATTTTCACCAGCCCACTCCAGAAACAGTTTTCTTTTTTTCTCTCAGATGTAGTATATAATTCCTTACATCCATTATAAGTAACACTAATCAAGATAACCATTAAACAGAGTGTGGTCTGATTCACACCTTCTACTTAGGTCATAACTTAATCTCACCCTTTCCCTGTTTGTTAGCAGATATTGCTCTCCAAAACAGAACTATTTGCCACAGGGTGTATGAAATCCAGAAATACTATATATCAAATATGGATTCGGGTTGGAAGGCCCATCTCACGTGTAACTCAGCATTCTCATTTTCATTCTGTTTGTTCTGTTTCCATTGACCTAGCTCCCCTACCCCTCCTTGCTTTCTCAACTTTGCTTTTGAATAAATGCCAAGCGTTGGTTTCTTATAATTACTTTTTAAAGAAGCATATCACAATAAGCCGATGATCTTGCTTACTACATAAACCTATTATTTGGATGAAAAGTGACATACAGAAACCTCTTCAAGTTCCAAGGATATCTTAGGGTGACAGTCTTGGGGACTTTCTAATCTCTATTGGCCCAATAGGTATGCACTTATTTAGGAATTTGAATTTTGTGCTCTATTTTTCTCCCATTTAATAGGTGTGACTAGTATTGCATTTGTTGATCTATTTCTGAATTCTCTATTCCATGCCATTCAATTCTCTGCCTATCCTTTAACTAACACTGCCCTGATTTTTATTGCTTTATAAACGAGCCTTGGAGAAACAATAATGTGAGCTACTAACTTTATTCTTTTTTTTTTTTTTGGTAACTTCTTTTGGCTAGTCTGGTTTTTTGAGTTTATTTTAATGCTATTCTCTTTAAATTATAGAATAAGCTTGTCAATGGCTATGAAAGAAATTGTTCTGTAATTCTGATGGAAACTGCAGGGATAATAGAGATTACTTTGCAGAAAATTAACATCCTAACATTATCTAGTCTTCTACTCAATAAACCTAGTATAACCTTTTGCTTTATTTAGGACTTTGCTGGTTTCTTTCATTGTTTTCTAGCTTCCAACATATATATGGTATATCCTTTATTATATTTCAACGTGAGCATTTTAAAAATTAATCATTTTATTGGGGGGCTCTTACAAATCTTATAACAATCCATCATTCAGTAGTATTAAGCACACTTGTACATATGTTGCCATCAACATTTCCAAAACAATTTCTTTCTACTTGAGCCCTTGTTATCAGCTCCTCTTTTTTCACCTCCCTCCCCAACCCTCCCACCCTCGTGAATACTTGATCAATCATATATTATTATTATTTTGTGTCTTACACTGTTCTATTGTCTCGCTTCAACCACCTTTCTGTTATTTGTCTACCTGAGTGGGAGGCCTATATATCCAACCTTGTGATGGGCTCCCCCATTCTTCCCCCGCCACCGCCGCCCCCAACCTTCACCATCCTCCACCCTCTTGATATCGCTACTCCTACTTTTCCTGGGGGTGTTATCTTTCCTGAATTCCTGTGTCCAGAGCTCTTATCTGTACCAATGTGTGTACCAGATTTGTAACGTAGAACTGAGTCATGGCGTGGAGAGGGATATTTAGGAACTAGAGGAATGATGTGTGTTTCATTGGTGCTATACTGCACCTTGGTTGAATCATCCCTTTCTTGTAACCTCCCCTGTGGGGAGATGTCCAATCTTCCACTGAGCATTTTTTTTTGATGCTTTCAGATTTTTTTCAATTTTCTATATCAAATTTTCCATTGTTAGTATATAGAAATAAGATTAATTTTTGCATTGTGACATTATACTCTATAATCTTGCAAAACTTATCCGTTCAAGGAGATCTTTCATTTCTTTGGTTTATTGTTGTCATGGTGGTTTCTGAGTGTGTTTGTTTGGGGCGGGGGTGGGTTTGGTTGTTTGGGGGTGTTTTTGTAGATACGGAAGCACTTTCTAAATAGACAAAAATGTCATCTGCAAATAGAGACTTTTCATATTTTCATTTGAAGTGTTATATGCTTTATTTCCTTCTCTTCTTTATTTCACTGGGTAAGACCTCTAGTACTATGTTGATTAAGAATGGTAAGGATGATCATTCCTACCTTGTTACCAGTCTTAAGTAGAAAGTATTCAGTCTTGCACTGTTAAGCTACATGTAGATATACATTTTTCAATGATTCCCTAATAGAAGGTATTCCTTATTTGCTGGGAGTTTTCAACATAAATGAGTGCTAAATTTTATCAAATGTTTTTTCTGCTTCTTTTGAGTATGCTTCTTTTTTCTGTAGTCTGTTTCTATGGTGAACTACATTGACTGCTTTTCAAATGATAAAACAGTCTTACATTCCCAGAATAAATCCCATATGCTCACGCTATTTTATCTTTTTTCTAATTTGCTGGATTTGATTTGTTAGTCTTTTGTTGAGAATATTTAATTTATATTTATGTGGTGTATTGGTCTGTATTGTTTTTCTTATAACATTTTTATTTGATTTGGGTAATAGAGGATATTAGAATCATAAACCAAATTGAGAACCTACTCTCCTATATTCTGGAATAATTTTGTTGAGTTTATATTATTTGTTCTTTAAATGTGGTAGTATTTGTCAATAAAACAATACGGGACACAAGTTTTTTGTTGTTGTTGAAAAGTTTTCTATATGAGTTCAATTTTGTTAGTAGATATAAAATTATTGAGGTTATTATATTCTCTTAAGTGAAAACTTTAACAGCTGGTAACTTTCAAGGAATTTGTCCAATTCGCCTAAGTTGCTGAAGTTATTAGTAGCAAGTTATTTGTAATATTCATGCCTAAATATTCCTGAATTATTTACCCTTTAATTCCTGTAATTTTAATTTTTTCACTCCCTACTCCTTGATCAGTCTAGTTTAAAAATGTATTAGTTTAATTGATCTCTACAAATATTATCTTTGGTTTAACTGCTTTTCTGGTTTCAATTTTGGCATGAGAATAGAAGGTAGAAGAAAGAATTCACAAATTGTTTTACCAGACTGGAAATACCATAACCCCCAACAAATACTAATCTCAGTACCAATCCTATGGTGTTCCTCACGACCTCAGAATTTTGAGTGTCTATTCAGTCTTTCTGTCTTCAGAAATTATATAAATGTTTTCTCCCTGCTGGTTCTTCTAATTTCTAACTGTTCTGAACTTTCCTCAGAAATTCAAGCCACCGGTTAAGAAGCCTCCTCAAAAGTTCCCATGTCAGTACTCAAGAGACCTCTTCGGATTAAGATTCTGTTATCAATACTTTTCCAATATATTTTCCATCCATACAGCTATTAGCTTCTTTCTACTACCTGGGTTACTTCAGATCCCCCTTTTATTCTTTCAGTATTCTAATGATACATGTAAATCAATTATCTGTATTAAATCCTTCGGTTCAAAAGACCTTACATGGCTTTGTTTTCTAGCCTGGACCCTGACTAAAACAATCCTCTTTCTCCAACACATTCATAGGATTTAACTAATATAAGAAATCAGTATCAATCAACAATGTAAATACAAAATTTTCAATAGGAAAAATAAATATTTACCATCTTCCTAGTAGTTCTCCCCAAGAATACAGGATCTTCTCAGGACAATCTTTTGAGACATCACCTGTTCCACTTGAGAGTTCATTATCACTCTCTGTAGAAGAAACATAAAAACAGTGAAAATGTAAAGACTGATACAGCAAGAAATATGACTATGATGCTGATGCAACAATCAAGCAATCCTACTATTTATATTATATTCATAACAAACATAACAATACATATCTTATTAGTGCAATTTATCTTTAGTGCCTACATAACTACTTTCAAAACATCCCACAGCTTCCACAGTATGAAATTGAAAATATCTAGAAATACCTATTGTATGCTATCAAGTCAATTCCAACTCATCGCAACCCTACAAGGCAGAGGAACCCCATGAGGTTTCTTAGACTTTAATTTTCACTGAAAGTTCCATGGTGACACAGTGGGTTAGACACTAGGCTACTAAGCAAACTCCTCAACGACTCCTAGAGAGGAAGAAGAGGCAGTCCACTTTTCTTAGGATTTACAGCCCTATACACCCGATGGGGGCAGTTCTACAGATAGACTGAGTTGACTCAATAGCAGTGGTTGTTTGGTTTGGTTTTACTTCTTCTTTATAGGAGCAGATCACCAGATCTTTTCTTTGGTGAATTTGAACCGCTGACCTCTCAGTTAGCAGCAAAGAGCACAACCATTGCACTGCCATCTCCGTAGAAATAATGAACATTATCCAGAGAGAGTAAAATTGAGAAGCTAAAGGTAACACAATGAAAGATTCATATATGATGCTCTACTTGTGATATTAATATTCTCAAATAGTAACATCCTATTAGCAAAGCAAACAAATGCTAAAAATGTTTTAACTAATATACGTAAACATATATAAATACAAGGGAGCTTCAAAAACTTCCATCATTTTTTCAGTTCTATTTTTCCAGATAGATAGATACACACACACACACACACTCATACAAACCAGGGGGCAAGGAGAGTTTCAAACAGTTTGAATAAATATTATACTTAAAAATAAAAGAATTTTCCCATGAAATTTTTGAAGTCCCTTCTTATATCTGATATACGTGCATACACAAATAAGATATTTATTTTAGAGTTTTTAAAGATATATTTATGAACATAAGATGTTTTTGACTAAAGGAAAGGTGAAACTGCTTGGCCTTTTAAGTTTTAAGTAACTTCATGAAACACCCCAAAATGTAAGTGATAATTTTAGTCAGAAAGAAGAAAACAATTTACAATCAAACTTGAAATGGGTAATTTTAAGCTCTAAAATACTTTTTAAGCAAGTCCAAGTGGAGCAATAATTAAATTGCTCAACTGCTAAGCAAAAAAGTTCGTGGTTCTAACCCACCAGCTTCTCTACTGGAGAAAGGCATGGCCGTCTGCTCACATAAAAGTTTACAGCACTGGCAAGCCTACAGGGCAGTCTGCTGTCTTACAGCATCACTCTGCATCAGAATCAACTCTAGAGCAATGGAGACATAGTTTTAGGTGGGGTACTTCTTAAACCCCTATAAGTAGCAGTAGGTTTGGTAAAGAAAGGATATATAATTTACACAATGTATGTATATTGTAAGATATAAGAAAATGACTGAAATATTGTCTGAATGATAAAATAAATTAGATAAAAATCTGTCTGGCAGATCATAAGTACTAAGGTTTCATCAATGCTGTTACTGTAAATAGGGATTAGTATTAAGTGGATCCCACAGGGATCTGTGTTAATATTCTGCAAAATTCTATAATAAAAGTATAAGTTCATTCCTATCTAGAAATACACCAGCAGAAAACATCAACATAATAAACAAAGATTTAGGGGCCAAATTAAAATTTTGATCAAGGTCAGATGAGAAGATTTGATGACAGATTAAAATATAAGCGAAACATGTACACACACATAACTAATTCAGTATTTTAAAAGAATACTAAATAAATATGCATTGTGAGGAAACTTTTATATAAAAACTGAACATAATTAGAGGGAACCGATTAAAAGGATCTATATGTGACCTCCTCCCTGGGGGATGGACAACAGAAAAGTGGGTGAAGAGAGATGTCAGACAGGGCAAGATATGACAAATTAATAATTTAGAAATTATCAAGGGCTCATGAGGGAGGGGGGAGCAGGAAGGGAGGGGGGAAACGAGGACCTGAAGCCGGGGACTTAAGTGGAGAGCAAATGTTTTGAGAATGATGAAGGCAACGAATGTACAAATGTGCTTTACACAACAGATGTATGTATGGATTGTGATAAGAGTTGTATGAGCCCCTAATAAAATGATTTTAAAAAACTGAACAAAATTCTAGAAATTAAGACCAAAAGAGGGTAGACACTAGAATCACAGCTCCGAAAATAACTCACACAAGCATCTCTAAGAAGACTGCCACAAAGTTTATCATAGAAGTACTAAAATGGAGTTTTTTAAAGCTAAAGCATATGAAACATTACTATTATTTTAGAAATATAAATTAAAAATATGGACATTACACTATTGAACTATTTTTTAAATTTTCCCATACAACCAACTATCTCTTATAAACCTTTCTCTTTTTGTACAGATGGTTAGACTTATCAGAATGAAAGGGAATCCTATTAAAAATTACACTGAGATAAGTTAAGCTGGGACTATGGCAGCGAAAAAGGGACTCATAGTGACCCTACTTATAATATAATTTGGTATGAAGTATAATCCAGGTACTTCTAATACAAATGGGTACTTGCTTAAGCTGAGTTTAACAGGGCTCATCTTAGACTCACTTATACTTCACAGTAAGTAATAATATGTTACCATTCAAAATATTTGATAAAATTGTATATACTAAGCTGAAGGTAAAACTTAGAAGCACAAAAGCAGGAAAAAGAGAAAAGTTAATGAACACTTAAGAATGTAATAACTGTGGTTATAATAAAAATCAGAAATATCTAAAGATGCAGGAACTCTTATTATATGGTTCCTACTAAATTAGGAATCCTTAAACATGAAACAACTTCTTAGGAGAATGTCCAAATTATAAAACAATATCATTGATATCATATGCAAGTAAAATTTTGCTAAAAATCATCCAACCACAATTGTGGAAGTGCATTAACATGGAGCTGCTGGAATTCAGGCTGGATTCAGAAGAGGATGTGAAACAAGAGACGTCTTTGCTGATTTCAGATTGACATTCACTAAAAGCAGAGATAACAAGAAAGGTGTTGACTTGTTTTTATTGACTATGCCAAGGCATTTGACCATATGTGTCCATATGAGTGTGTGGGTTTAACAAACTATGGATTGCCTTGAGAAAAATTGCAATTCCACAACACTTCATTGTGCTCATGCAGAATTTGTACATGAATGAAGAGAAAGTTGTGGGAACAGAACAAGGGAATACTGTATGGCTTAAAATCAGGAAAAGTGAGGTTTGTGACAGGGTTGTATCCTCCCACCACACTTATTCAATCTATATGCGAAGCAAATAATCAGAGAAACTGGATTATATGCAGAAGAGTATGGCATTAGGATTGGAGGAAGGCTTATTAAAAAGTTGTTACGTGCAGATGACACAACCTCCCTTAGTGAAAGCAAGAAGGGCTTGAAGCGCTTGCTGATGAAGATCAAGGAATGCACCCTTCAGTGTGTTTTACAACTCAATGTAAAGAAGACCAAAGTCCTCACAACTGGACCAATGGGTAACATCAAGATATGCTGTAGTAAGATATATATACTATTGTGGTAAACCTGTGACTGGAATTCTCAGTTAATTTTGTTATAAATTTTCCCTGACAGGGAGTTGAATGATGGGACTCTAATCTAAAATTAACATGGAGATCTCTAAAGAGAGCTAAAGGCAGGTGGGTGGGGACTACATCCAGGAATGGGTTTTGGGTTCACACTAAATCCTAGATCCAATTTAAGAACAATTATTTATTACAGCTTGACCCTGCTCAATACTCACCCTCAGGAAGGGAACACAGAAGATAAAAGTGCTATATAGCAAAGTGTGGTGAAAAAAATAGATAGTGCTTGGGGTAAAATAGTGTCTGGGACCTTAAAAGCTTGTTTCCAAACAAGTAGTCGTCTAAATGAGATGTCAACTAAGTCTACATGGAAGAAGCACACCAAGATCACTGATCAAAGGATAGCAAATCACATAATCCAAAGCTGAAGGAGGGAATAATATTACAGCCTAAATTGTGAGACTCTGGTTTGCAGAAGGCTATAGATGGCATTGGGAGCCCAAGATACATTTGTGGGATCTACATAGGAAATAAGCCTTTGGTAATTTCCCTCTATCCCTAATAGAGAAATGGGAAGAAACTGGCTATCAGACGGAGTGCATTGCAGAGATGACTATAAAAGAGCAACATGATAAAAGCTGACTTGAATGGTTTAAGCCTTGTCAGTTGATCCCATCTCTGATGCACTTTAGGCCTTTTCTAGTTTTCAACATTTTCTGTATTTTTTGTTTATTGCTATTTTTGTTCATAGTGAAGCTAATCTCAGATGTGTTTTGTCATTAGGGGTAACCTCTGAATTTTTGTTATACCTTTTTCAGTTTTCATCAAACCCAGGATCAATGAACCTACAAGGACAGCAAGTAAAATAATGGTTCTAGGAGGTACAGTAAGGGGCGAGGGGGAAGGAGGATGGCAAAAGGGAGCTGATGTCAAGTAGTTCAAGAAGGAAAAGAATGTTTGTAACCTGATTGTGGTAGCAATTTTACAATACTGCTGGATGTGACTGAACTGTGGAATTACATGATATCTGGACTTCGTGTTGCTTGGATCCGCAACCAAAACTCATGAAAGTATCAGTGAAGAGATCGAAAGACAAATTGCATCGAGTAAATCTGCTGCATACAACCTCTAAAGTGCTGAAAAGCAGGGAGGTTACTTTGAGGACTGGTATTTTCAATCATCTCATATACATGTGAAAGTTGAACACTGAATAAGGAAGACAGAAGAAGAATCAATGCATTTGAATTAAGGTGCTGGCCAAGAATATGGAAAGTACCATAGACTGCCGAAAGAACAAACAGATCTGTCTTGGAACAAGTACAGCCAGAATGCTCCTTGGAGGCAGTGGTGGTGAGACTTGGTCTCAT